GGTCAGCCTTCCCCCACCCGCAAGGTGCCCAAGAATGCCCCCAAGCTCTCTACATTCGTGCCTTACCAGGAGATGGATGGGCAGGAGCACCTGATGGCGAATGGCAGTCCCAAGCCGCTGGCGACCGAGGAGCGTGGCACAGGTAGCAACAGCGCTAGTTCCAAAGTGGCTAATATGCGTTTCATGACACCCTACAGCAGTGCCTATCCTGGGGTCGGTGACTCATCGGTGAAAGACTGTGGGCTGGAGGAAATACCACTGAGCCAGGCAGCAGAGTACCACTCAGCCACCACCCCAACTGGCCAGACCTCCAAGAGAGAGATCTACCTGTGAGGGTGTCACCTTCCACCTTAGGGCCTCTAACACCACCTAACAACACTACACCGTGTCCCACTACTCATTGCTGCTCGCCACAACGCCCGTCCGACCACCCAATCCCCCGCCCCACCCCACCCGTCAGTGTTGCCTCCCCTCGTGCCTATTGTTCGCTGTGCCACTGCACAGAGCGACTGTCCTCTCTTTTTCCTTTTTTATAATGGCACCAACACTATTCAAGCTTTAGATGCCGCCCATCGCCACCTGACCATCACCATGTCTAATTCTCTTAAAACCAATCAAATGTAAGATAGAATTAATTAAAATAAACAGAAGAAAACCACGTGGCTCCCGCGGCCGCTGAAGGAATGTAAACTACACCACATCGTCGTGATAATTTATGGGAAACTATTTACTCATGTATTTGAGTTTGGTTTTTTTTGTGCGTCGCTTTAGACTTTGTTGCGTTGTTGGATCAGTAAAAAAATTTAAAATAAAATAAAAACAAGCAAAAGAAAAATAACTTCTAAGCAGAGAAGAGGAGAATATTTCTTGTAAATCCTACCTAAATATACTGTTTAATGCTATCTATCCTCCTTGATTTTTTTCAGGTTTTGATTAATTTTTTGACTCCACATGAAACATGTTTTTTTTTTTTTGTCTTTCTGCCTGGCTGCATCAAATCAGTCAAGCTCCTGTTTCATCAGAAACAATGTTGAGACATTTCCAGGAGTAAAGAGCAGCTGCCCTACCTGTCAGAGTCAATGTTGAAAACCTTTTAAGTGATATTCTCTTTTGTTTTGTTGTAGTGAGGTCTTGTACTCAATGTACAGAACTGTAAATAATTTGGATAGTGACAGAAGAAGCTGCTGTGGCTCTGATGCTACAGCTATAGCGTGGTCCGCTGACCTTCATTTAATATCAGGATGATGGACTGAAAATGTCATGTATACAAGAAAACCGGAGAGACAGTGTGGCTTTTTGTCACATTGCAGGAATCTGGACTCTTGCGCATCACCAACGGTGCCGAGTTATAAAACACTTTTAATATAATTCCTTTTTTTTTTATAGTTTTTTGTTCTCTCTCTCTTACTCTCTCTCTCTCTTACTCTCTCCACAACCACTTGACTTTGGGTTCATGCGTGGGTAAATATTATCATCAAGCTGCAGCAACACCAATTTATTCAAAACCAGAGAGAAGTCTGAGTGGATCGAAATACAAGAACCGATTCTATTATTTACGCTGTTGTCAGCAGTGTGCCGTGAAATGAAAACTCAACGTGAATGTTTGTGTCCGTTAAATTAATCCTCAGAGAAGATGATCAAACAATTTTTGTCCCTCAGAACAAGGCAAAAATAAAGTTGAAGATACCTTTCACAAGTTTAACCAGAGTTTCATGAAATCTATGTTGTGTTATTGACCAGTGGATGGCGCACTGAGCACAGATACAGTATTTATACACGAGTCATCCATTAGAAGGAAAGTGATAAAGATTAGAGAGTTGGTGGGTGTGGCTCTAAACTAAGGGGTTATTCTCTGTGAAGCAGGAATCTACAGCTTACTGTTTGGGTGTTCATATGAAGAATAGGGTTCAATTATAGGTAGGGTTTAAAAAATCTTAAACCCTTAAAGAGAAAACAATTAGGGAGTTCTTTCATTTTTCACACATACTATACATAACACTTAATGTAGTATATAGTTTGAATAATATCTTATGTTGATGAATTAGACACTGTCCAGATACACTATGTAAGCGTTCAATGTGCTCTGTAACATTTGCAACAATGTTGCCACCAGACAATTTGGTTACAGCCTGGAAATCTAGAGAAAACGTCATGTGGAGCCATTTCATTTTTAAATTCTTTATATATTTAATTGTTTAAACCAGGATGCAGCCTCTTATTGCTCATACATTGCTATTTTGTTTTTGTAAAGCCTTTATTCGGAAAACACCTTTGGTCTCAGATGGCTTAACTCAGTGTCATTAAAGCCTTGATCTTTGGCAGGAACTGTGAATTTGGACAAATGGACCAGAACTCAACAGAAGGAGCCAAAGGCCAGGGTATATGGTCATTTTTGGTAATGATTGAGTTAGACAGTTCCAGGTCACTACACCCTGAAACTGATTATCAGGTGTCAAAGTTGTTTTTTTTTTTTTTTGTTTTTTTTTCAGAAGGAGGAAGAGGTCACCAGAATAACTGAGATAAATCATTTGATTTATTTTATATTGTGGTTGGTAACTGCACATATTATTATATGACAAATAACTAGGGTCTAATTTACTGATTTTGTTCTTTTACATCGAAATTTGGCATCCACCAACTATGGTGCCCACAGTAATTAACTACTGGCAAAAACAAAACAAACAAAAAAACACAAACAGAAGTAACTCATGATTTTATTTTAACTTTAACTTAAGTACTAACATGTCTATGAAGATTCTCAGTCATCCAGGTCATGGAATTTAAAAAAGTGCTGTTAGGCAACTGGACGTGAATTTTCTAAAAGAAGACGTTTCACCTCTAATCCAAGAAGAACTAAAGAAGCCTCTTGGATTAGAGGTGAAATGTCTTCTTTTAGAAAATTCACGTCCAGTTGCCTAACAGACCTTTTTAAACTTAACTACTAATTTTTTTTCTAACTTAAAAAAAGATATGATAGAAAAATATAAAACAGCAGCATTTTAGATTCCTGACTGACCCGCAGCTAAACTGGTGAGCAAAATGACCTCAGAATATAGTTATGACATGTGACTTTATAAAGGATTTTCCCAATTATGAGAAAGAATTACAAGCAATTAGCCAGTTTGATTTTGTCATCACAGACAAATTGAGAGATACAAGTATAAATAGGCCTACATGTCTACACATCACAGCTCTGGAGCTGGGTTTGTGTTGCTTGTGTCGCCTCCAGAGAGGAGCTTCCCTGCTGTTTGTTACTTTATTTTCCCATCCAAAAAGGAGAGCTATCTCTAGGTAATGTTTACCTTTTTACCCCTCAGTGTGAGGCCTTGAGCAGCTCACCGTTAAGCAGAAGTGTTTCTTAAACCCTGTTAGCGGCGTACAGCAGCAGGAGGCGAATGCGGCTCATCCTGCGGCGTTCACAGGAAGGAATGATTATTACGGGCTTCAGGTCCACTCACACATCACCCACTCCACACACACAGCACACCGGAAAGGACCGCTAATTACGACCCAGGGTCTCCACACATTATTGGTGCTAATTTGTAGCAGTGGAGGTGAGCTAGCATAGAGATTCTTCTTTTCCTGCATCAAGTTTAAAACGTAGCAAGATGTCTGGAGACAACATCTTTGACTAGTAACTAACCAGTTCACAACATTGTACTTTTGGTACAATGGGTGGGGTTTGCTAATGCAGAGTTATATTTATATGTGCTATTGTTTCCATGACTTGGACTTTGCTGCTTGTGCTATTGTTTCCATGACTTGGACTTGTTTCCATGACTTGGACTTTTGACACCATGTACTACAGTATGTTAATGATGTGGTTAGCACAGCTTTAGCCAAGGTAACAGCAGCCACTGGAACTCAGAAAAGTGAAGCATCGTAACACAGTGTTTTTTCTTTCTTTTTTTTTTCTTTTTTTCATTGACAGTACATCATAAAACACATAATTATTCTTAATTGTACATACATTTGTTTTTTATATCAACGAGAAATGCAATTCATCCTTCAGGTGCTTTGATTTATGATCAAATCACCTGAAGGATGAATAGTGTTGATGCATTGTGTGTTGTTTGCACACACACACGCACGTACCCACACTCAAACACACACTGGATTTCTTTTCACATAAATCAAGCCTCATTCAACTCTCCAGGTGACAGAGATTTAGAGCCCACCTTTGCTGCTGCTTCTGCCACACTCCCCGTCTTCCTCTGCTGATTTAATGCTGTAGCTCAGTGATTATTTACAGGCCCAACATAGAGGTCCACATCCACTCCTTCTTCCTTCTCCTGCTCCTCCTCCTCTCTTTGCCATGCTTCACCGTTCCACTGTAAACAAGTCATTTTTTTATGATGTCTGTTCACTGCCCCCCTCCAGCGTCTGCAGGGGATTTGTGCTGTGTAAGGTAAAGATGGAGAAGTTCATGGAGCGGGAGGAGATGCAGTGACAGTTTAACCTCCACTCTTTGGCACCAATTAACCTCAGAAGAAGAAAAGTGACCTCTGGTGACCTCCTCCTAACCTTTAGAGACCGTTAGCTTTGCAGTAAAAACTGTGAGCGAAAAGCAAACACTAGCAAATTTCTTTAGTGTCTGGGTTGGTGTGTGCGTCTGTGGCTTTTTTTTTTCTGTGCGTTGACATTATTTCTTTTACGTCAAAAAAAGTAGAAAAAGATAGAAACTCCATTGTACAGCCCACAGTTAAGGTTGTGTTGGCATTTGACATTTCTCTTCTTTTGGGATACAGTTTAGTAACAATTGGGAAGATGTTTGAAACATCGTACATACACGGCTTCTGTTGAGTTTTGTCCCAGCTATCAGTTTCTATTTAAAGATAATAATATTATATTATGTCAGGTGTAAAATGTAAAGGGTCAAGTTTCCAAAGGCTAATTTGGGTTT